CTCTCTCTCTCTCTCTCTCTCTCTCTCTCTCACACACACACACACACACACACACACACACACACACACACACACACACACACACACGCACACACGCCGAAAAATGGCATGGCGCACAGGGCGCACCCTTGCAGGGGTAGCGCGTCCCCATGCGCTGCGCGCACGGCGCACCTCGTGCGCGGGCAGTGTCACCGCGCGCATTCCGCAGGGCGCACCGCACCGCATCGCGCACCGCACCAGTGCGCCGCAAGTATGATATACACCCTACAGGAACCAGGGAAAAAAAAAAAAGAAGCCCGGTAAGCTACATCAATGCAAAAAGCAGAGCAGGAGGAGCATTCAAAACCAACAACCTGAGAACAATCAGAATCATAGAAGGAGAAAGAAAAAGAGTTTATAAACTCCCCATTAGCATCTGTCACCTAGAGATCGACCCAACGGAATGGACATGGAACCCCACTTCAGGTTCCACCCTCATCCCAAACCTATGTAAGCTAACTGACTACACACCCAATCTAGGATATCGACTCTTCACCAGACTCGTATCTATATCCAACACGCTATGCAATAGGTGGACAAAGGAGGAACCACAACTAGCCAACGCACACCCAATCTTCTCCACAAGACCGGTGAAGCTAGCCAGTCTGAGATGGCTAATAGCCTACACAGAGTAGTTCCGGTGAACCAATGGTTGGCCAGCAGACGCAATCACGAAAACAGAACAGAACAGGACTCATGGTGCAAGGTATGCAACCTCGATACCCCTGAATCCCTAAACCATTGTTTCATAGATTGCCCAAAGTCTAGATCCCTCTGGCAAGCTTTAGAACCATCATGGAACAAAATATCAGGCTCTCCCCTTCTAATCAACCCAGCCACACTATTCGTTGACCTCAAACAATCTCCCCCGCTCAAAGGCTCCGAGGCCTTCCTCTCCTCTCAAATCAAGAAAAGCAGCGTCTGGGCAATATGGACAAATAGATGCGATAACACCTTCGATGACCGTCTCACCATCTCAGGAAACCCAGTCGTCATCATCAAACAACGAATAGACGCCGAAATCCACGCCCTCTGGAAGAAACAACTCAATCAACTCCTAACAGACCTCGACAAAAAAAACGAAATAATCAAAAAGTTCTTAGCCTCTGAACTAGGCAATGGTCTTCTTGGTACATGTAACAAAATTGGCCAGTTATAACACAGACACAAAACGCCTATACAACTCCCCCAACCCACACACTAGCAACCCCAAACCAACCACCCAACACTAACCCACAACCGCGTAGGTAAATATCCCTCTCTCGGCATTGTACGCACTGCTCTCCCCCCCCTTCACCCCCCACTCCTAAACAACAGCTTACACACCACCACACCCTCCAACTATTTCCCCCCTTCCTCCTCTCCCCCACTCTTTCGTTATATTACCCAATACACAACGCCTATCCAAATCCCCCAACCGAGCCACCCCCCAAGCCTCAACACCCACCCTACCAAGAAAGCCTTCACCGGAGTTCAAAAAGTTCCCCCCCCATTTTCAAACGATACCCGGAACTTTCCCCAGCCCCAGCAACCACAACAGGTGTGAACAACAGCAATGATATAGAAACAACCGCCAAGGACAGGCTATAGACAAAGAAGCATTAAGAGAGGGTTTAGGTTGTAAGCACCAAATGCAGGTCAAGAACAGAACCCCAGCAGAACAGGCTAACTTAGGCAGGGGTGAAGGGTGGTACATCCTTCCTGCAGGAAGTAATCAATGCTGTCCTTCGAGCCTCCACACCATGACGGGGAGGAGCGTGGGCGAGTACTTGTTGTAATATTTTCAGACTTGCCAGTGGAATAGGAACCGAACTGACGCTCGCCAGAATGGAAAAAGAGATGGAACCATAAGGTTTCGTCTTGAAAAAAAAAAAAAAAAAAAAAAAAAAAAAGAGCAGACTAAGCCTGAAAGTTGAAACCCAGAA